ATTTCCAATGTTGATCCTAAGTCATAACTCTGTCTTCACTTCTTCCCCAGGACTAATCACTTACTCTCATATTACCCCTACTCCATCCACAAAGCCATAGTGCATGAAGCCTGGAGCCTTCCTTGAAAAACACTCTGTCATTACTTCCCTCCATCTTCTACCCAACCCCTCTAACTTATTATATACTCAGATACAAGTAATTCCCCAGAAAATGTTACTTGAATCACTATTTTGATGTCATTTCTACATTAGAACTTCTAAGTACCTCTCATCCCAGCTAAAAACAATCCATTATTATCTGTCTTCTATAAACTGTTCACATATTGTCCCCACTTCTGCTCTACCCAATCCTTTCTCCACACAGTAAGCAGAAAAATGAACCATAAATGTACGCCTTTCACACGTCACAACTCTGGCCTCAAACAGCTTCCCTTCTCCTTCTAAAAGATCATGCCTCTCTCCTCAATGCTTACTGGCTCCCTAAAGATACTCGGGCAACACTTCCTTCCCAGTTTCCCAAAGGTAGGTGCTGTGCTAGCAGACTCAAGACCCACTCACGCTACCTGATGCTCATCCCATCAACTCAGGCCCTCTAGCTGGCTTGCAACATATGTTACAGCCTCAACCCTCCCTAACCTCACCTTTGGCTGGCCATCCAAACAGCACCATACCTAGTCTAAAAGAAACCTCCTCTAACTCCCCTCTATTCCCTCCCTGCCCCACTCATTCCCACCTTCTACAACGTGAAGGTGAAATTAATGATACTGGAAGAACACACCAACCTCTAGCAGCAAAAGAAGCTGTTGGGAGGGAGGAAGAGTCAATATGCCAAGCATTTCTTGATGCCAGAATGTGATCCTTGAATTTCTTTCCTCTGTGGGCTCCATTCTCAGAACCACAACCCAAATGTTTTGCATGGAAAGACAGGCCCTGGGGGAAAGCGCAGGACTACCTAATGTAGGTTTTATAAAAAGAAAAAAGGGGATAAATTTTGTTCTTCTTCACACATTTCCCAAGAACTCAAGAACAATAATTAGGATTGGTAGAGTGGTTCAAGCGGTATGAGTACCTGCCTAGCAAGCAAGAGACCCTGAGTTCAAACTCCAGTGCTGCCAAAAAAAAAAAAAAAGACAAAAGAACAAAAATTAGATGAAAGGTGTTGTAGGAAGCCATATTTTAGGTCAGGCCTCAGCCCGAAAAGCAGGGGTATTCAAGTTCAGCTCAAGTTGAAAGCTCACAGTGAGCCTCCTGTAATGCCCCAGGCCACTTTGGTCTTTTCTTTCTATGAACACCAGGTTCACACAATGTGAGCCTCAACACTACAACTCAAAAAAGAGGAGCATTCAGACATGGGAGGTAAGTCCATGAGGAACAAATATCCAACCAGGCTCAGAGGACAGCAGTAGGCAAAAACAGGGGCCCTGCCATCCCACCAACTCACAAAATAAAATGAGAATAAAATCACACTGTCAGGAGAAAAACCAGTTGACGAACCCTACAACAATGTCTACTAGGAGGAGAGGTCCTTGTTTGGGAAGTCAGAGTAGATATTGATTCTGGGCTGAGGCTGTGTCCAATAACTCAAAACCTTTTAAGCCATGGCATGGTCTTGCTTGGGTCCTGGACTGGTAGTGGTTTTTGTTGGTTGGTTGGTTGGCTGGCCTTCCTCCTAAGAGCAAGCAGCAGTTGTTTCAGCAGTTTGACTTGAGCAGGGAAATACCATGACCAGACTGGATTGTCAAAAATTACTCAGGCTGGCAAGGGTGGACGCTGCTTGGAGGAGGAAATCACGGGGATTTAGACAAGACATGGTAGTAGAGAGGGAATAAGGCTGACAAAGTCAAGGGAAATACAAAGACTCACTAATGGCCAGGGTGGTGCTCTGAGGAGACTGAGGAAGATCAGGGTAAGAAGGAAGCAAGGGAATTGCTATCATGAGTCAGACATGAGAAAGTAAAAATTAGTTTGCTGAGAAAGTGAAAACCTGTTTTGCCATTTATCAGCCTAGAATAGCAGACACAGATAGAGCCAGCTGCAAGTAAACAGAAAACATACCTCCCAAGGACAGTGCAACTAGGAAGTATCACAATGACCCTTTTTTTGAGTGATTGCTGGCTTCTTATTCACTGAGAATTCACTCTGAAACTTGTCCATTCTCAGAAGCTTTGTTGAGACTTGACAGTAAGAAGGAAACACGCTACCCTAATCACTGTGACACAGAGAAGCAGCTTAATTTCCCACTAGCTGCAGAGCTTCAAAGAAGACATTTCTAGACAGTGTTGCATTTGTGTCTGAACATTGTAGTTTTCAAGCAAATGGGACCTGTGTTTACATCACATTCAGACTGTCTGCCTCTTTACACACAGCTCTACTTTGCCTTAAGCCATCGAAATAATGCTTCTGACAGAGCAAAGGCCACACAAGGACACAGTAATAAGACGGCCAGCCATTTGCAAGCCCCAGAGAAGCCTCAGGTAAAACCACACCTGCTGATATCTTCATCTTTGATTTCCACCCTTTAGAACTGTCACAAATTTCTCTTGTTTAAGCCACACACACACACCAAAAAAAAAAAAAAAAAAAAAAAAAAACAGCTCATTTCTTACCATCTAAAATCCCACCTGTCCTAAAGTCCTATAGCAACTCTATCCTGTTCTTTGTTTGGTGGGTGCTTCCCAGTTCCTCTGGTTTGTGGTCTCCCACATCGCAGTGAGCCATAAATCTGACCTTGTCAGACTGTAGGTCTGTTCCTAGTGGTCTCAGACTGATTAGGCTAGAACATTTAGAATCAGACATATTGTGAAATAAGCAGGAAGTACTCCCAAGTAGGAGTCAGATGGAGGGCCCTGGGCTTGGGGGTTGGAGGAGGTTAGGGCTACAAATAAATACAGCAGTCACTGACATCAAGATGGTAACTGAATCTATGCATGTGCATCAGTCTGCCTGCAGAGAAGCCAGGCAGGAGAGAAGGGGCCTAGACCTGAACCTCAAGCAACTGTACTACTGAAGGCTGTTGAACAGAAAAGAATAACTGAGCACAGAACACTGAGAAGGCATTGCTAGAGAGATCAGTGGGAAAAGAAGTAACAACACAGTCCGGGGAAGGCCAGGTACAAGCAGCAAATAACTCCTGGAGTTTGATTTTGATCAAGTCACCACAGATGCCTATGTGGCCCTCACTTAGTCTGATTTGGGCAGAGACTGAACTCCAAACACTGACTAGTGCTGATTCCTAAGACCCTAGTTTATTTTTCAAAATGCCATTCACAACTTTACAGTAAAACAACCAACTAGCAGGCTGACATACTCTGCTACCAGACAGTATTTTCCTTTCCTGGAGACAAATACACAAGGAATGAATAACTACTTTTGGAAACTGCTAGATGACCATGAGAGCAGAATAAGGCAAATCAAAGTCCCAGCAGGGTCCCAACAGAAAGAGAAAAGATTATTTTCCGTTTTGGTGAGAAAGCTGCAACAGAGGACCAAACAAGGTATGTGAGGCACCCAGGAGGTAGCAACACCCCTACAGCTAAAGGGGTAAGGAGAGACAGTGGTGTTACTGGAGCCCAGTGAGAACTGAACTGTGGAAGAGGCTCCAGGTAGGAGCCCTAAGTTGTGGAGGGATGCAGTCATCAACAGGGGACAGCAGCAGAGTGGGGAGGGAGGCAGCCCTCCCAACCTCTCTCTCTTTCCCTTCCATAGTGAGCCCTGCCAGCTCCAAGTCCACAGAGGCCCATAGCCTAGAGCACAGCATGGGGCAGAAGGGAAAAGAATGTATCTGAGACTCAAGGGAATAGGCCATGGTATGGCAGTAACCGTAAGCATTCTCCCTTCTAATTGGAAAGGGCTGGCCTCATTTTGCACAAATGAGAAACCCATATTCTGACCTAACTGGTTCACTCCTCCTTAGGCAACCTCAAGGTCCCCCAGTTCTGGGAGGTCACCAAAGTGCTGGAGAACTTACTCCAGACATCCAATCAGCATAGATCACCACAGCCCAAAGCTCTTGGACTCAAGAGCTGCCTCTCAGCCTCCCAAGTAGCTAGGCTTACAGTCAGGGGTGTAGGATCACACCCCTGCTCTTGACCAGAATTCTATTCTTGAGAGGAAACACCTTTCTTGTCTGGACTACTGCTAGAAATGTTACTTCAGCCTCCAGGATCCACCTTTCCTAGAAGTCACACCAAGTTGGCAATGGTTCAATATGATGCAGGGGATTAGCCTTAACCATCAAAGACTGATTTACTCATAATTCAGCCTCAAGCAGGCAAGTGCTGAGTCAATCTCCAAACACCTCCAAGATTAGTAGACTTCTAGACTGGTATTCAACAAAATGGCTCAGCTCAAATCTCAAAAGTATGGATAAGCCCTTAAATCAGTGCTAAAAATTGACCATTAAGCTGAGTGTGGTGATGCACATCTATAATCCCAGCACTCAGAATCCTGAAGTAGGAGGATCAAGAGTTGGAGGCAAGCTTGGGCTTCAGAAAGAGTTCAAGGTCAACCTGAGCATTATGCTGACACCCTGACTCAAAACAAAGGACTAAAACAGAACACTGCCCCTCCCTCCCATCCCCTAGAGACAAGTGAACTCTCATGCGGTTCTCTCTACAGATGCAGTTATCTCATCCTAAGTCTCCACGTGACAAGATCTCAATTAACTTGAGGGCTTAATTTTCAGAGAAGAGCATTTCAGATATCCAAAGCATAAAATTCTTCCACCAAGGATGGGGTGGGGGAGAGAAAGAGAGCACGTACAAATACTCCAGAAAGCAGCAACCTTTCCTCCAGAACCAACATCGTATGTGCAAGTTACTCAGTGTCAGCATCTCCAAGCCTTGCTTATGTTTTATCTGACTCTTCCAAATGTATTTACAAGGGCTCCACAAATACCTTAGATTTACTTACAATTACTTTACAGACATATACTGAAGGTAAGTCTGATGGAAGGATTACTGTCATTACCAATGAATGCTAAAAATGAAGTTAAGACTCACTTTTTTCTACAATCTTTAATTTCTGGAAGCTTTCCAGCACTTCCCCATTTAATATTCTGGGTAAGAAGTCCCGTATTTGCATCACTTCAGTTGTCAGTCGTTCCAGGTCCTTCTTTCTGACTTTAACAAACTCTTCTTTAGTTCCCATGTGCTAAAAGAACAAGCAGATCTTAAGATTACTCTTTCTCTTCACATAACTAAAACCAGCAGCTGGTCAACTTGCTTCTTTTTCTTTCATGACTGTTTATATCCACAATTGTTTCAAAAGCATGTGTTGGTGGGCACAGATGGCTCATCTATAATCCCAGCTACTTGGCAGGCCAAGGTGAGGAGGACCACAGTTTGAGGTCAGCCCCAGCAAAAATTCAGGACAACCCTTCTCATCCAATAGCTGGACTAAGTGGTGTGAGCTTGTCATCCTAGCTACACTTGAGGCTAAGAATGGGAGGATCTTCATTCCAGGCCAACCCAAGCAAAAAAAGATTCCATCTAAAAGGAAAAAGGTTGGATGTGGTAGTGTTTGCCTGCCATCCTAGCTATGACAGGAAGCATAAAATAGAAGGACTGGGATCTGGGCTGGCCTGGGCAAAAAGAGAGACCCTACTCCAAAAACAACCAGAGAAGAGAAATGGAAGCATGGCTCAAGTAATAGAGCTCTTGCCTAGAAAGCAAGAAGCCCAGAGTTCAAACGCCAGTACCACCAGAAAAAACAAAAATAGTGTTTACCTAGTGTGCCTTCTGATAGCTATATGGATACAGATTATATACAAGGCACTGGGAGCTCCAGTCCCAGCTTCTCAGGAGGCCAAGGCCAGAGGATCGCTTGGGCCCGGGAGTTGGCGGCCACCTGGGCAACCCTATACCATCCCTCTTTTTAAAAGAAAGTGTCTGGGGGCGGCTCAAGTGATAGAGCGCCTGCCTAACAAGCGTGAGGTTCCAAATTCAAACCCAGTGCTGCCAAAGGAAAAACAAATTGAAGGGGTGGGAAGGGGGTAATGAAGGGGAAAAAAGTATCCTACAACTGTCTTACTCCAAAAAGTCAAAGAAAACGCCAGCAACTTAACATGGCAGGGCCAGTCTGACAGGGTGGAGGGACAGCAACTTTCCTGGATTCCCAGGGCGGCACCCCATCACCCAGACCAAAAATTGGGATGTGGGCAGGGCCCTTCCAACAGGCGGAACCCGGATGAGAACACGGGTGTGGCCCCGGAGCCCAGCACTTTCTCCTTCTACATACGCTGGACAGTCACAGCCAGCCGGTCTACACCGCACATTTCCTCCAACCTGGCCAAAGCCGCCAGGCGTCCGAGGCAGGCAAGGGCCCCAAGCCTCCCGCCCTGCCCGCCAGGCCCACCCAGCGCGGTTCTCAGGCGGGGCAGCCTGGTGTCCGTCCCCTGCCCGGCCTGGCCCGGCTGCGGGGACACCTCACACCTCGCACGTTGGGCAAAGCCCTGGGGGACCACGAACGATGGCAGCTGGGACCCGCTCCCAGGCCGGGCCTCCCACTGACCCTGCGGGCCTCCTCCGCGCCGCCCGCCTCGCCCATGGCTGCGCGCCGCCCTCTGACCCCGCACGCGGGAAAGCGCGGGAACGCGACCACGCCGGCTCCCGACGGAGAGCGGCGAGGCTCAGACCTCCTGGGATTTGCACCGCATTCTCTGCGGGGGTCGAGGGGGCGGGTCTCTGGTTCCGCCCGCGGGGTTAACTGCAAAGATGGAAAGTGAGAGTCAGGTCAAACGAGTCCATCTGGTCCTCCCTTTGCAGAGATGCTGCACTCGGGGGTTGCGTCCAGCCCGCACTCTTTGCCGGAAACCGGCCCCACCCCCGCCCGGCTCCGGGGCTCTCATCTTAGGCGACACTTTGTGTCCCAGCAGAGCTGTTTCTGCCAGGCGGCTGAGCGGAATAAGATAACCGCCTAAGCTCGAGGGAGCTACGTGGTCCAGAAACATCCCCAGCGTGACCACTGAGCCCGCAAGACCTGGCACAGCCTGGGGTCTCGGGTAACACCAAAGTTAGACACTGTAGGGATTCTGCCTTGGGGTCAGCAAGCAGCCAGCCCTCTTCCCACTCCCCTGAAGTGTGTTTTACAGGCCCGAGGACCGTCGGGGACGCCACCCTACTCCTGCACATCCCTTCCTGCACCTGTCCCGGGCGCTGCGGGGTCCGGCCATTCCCTCCCCCTCCACACCCCTGCACCTGCCGCAGGTCGCTGTGCACTGGGGGGGGGGCAGGGAGGAGCGCCGGTCCCTGCCAGAGCCACCGCCGTCGCCGGTCAGTGGTACTGCGTGACCAACTGCTAAGCAACCCCCCAATGACAGCCCTCCTTTCCGATCTCAACTCCACCCAGGGAGCCCGCGGAGCTCCACAGACACTCCGCGCGTGGAGCTCACAGGAGAGCCGCTGGCCCGACGGGGCTCTGCTAAGTGTGCTTTAAAGATTCTACACCACTTAAACCTAGCCGTCCGTGACTTTCTGGCCAAGGGTCCACCGTGGCTAACCTCGCCACCAACGGCCCTGAACTCTAGCGATCAAAAAACAGAAGCCGCACGCCGCCCACCAGAAGAGCGTCTCCGTCAGCCACCCGCAGCCAGCGCCACAGCCGCGCCGGCTCCCAGAACGCGCCGCGAGCGGCGCTTTTGTGACGCCATCAGCCCGCGCGCCGCCGAGCGCGCTGCCGCTTCTACGCAAGCGCGGCTCGGGCTGCGCGGCGGTAGGCTGTGGCGGCAAGCGGGGGCGCGCGGCCGGGGATGCTGGAGCGGGCGCAATGGCTCCCGCCATGCAGTCTGCGGAACTCCAGTTCGCTCAGCGGTTGGCGTCCAGCGAGAAAGGCATCCGCGACCGAGCGGTGAGAAAACTGAGGCAGTATCTCAGCGTGAAGACGCAACGGGAGACAGGTGGGCCCGCGGGTCAGCCGCGCCACATGGCGTGGGCCGGACTGGAGGATCGCCGTGTCCCTTCGGGCGCGCGGCAAGTGTGACGCCGTCGGGTGCGGATTGTGCTTAGGGCGGTTCGCCGTTGAAACGGGCCCGGGGTCCGATCGTGTGCCAAAAGTTAGCGATCGGAGAAGCTGCGAATTGACCCAGGTCTGTCCGGTGCGCGAACCCGCGTGTGGCTTCGCTGGGCTCGCCCCGGGGTTGCTTTGTGGTTCTCGTGTTAATTTCCGCCTTCCTTGACAACGCTTAGGTTGCTGCGGTGCGGGGAGGGAAGACGGCGGTATCCCTTCCCTGGAGGAACTTTTAAAAGTGAAGTAAGAGCGAGTGCGGGAGGGGATGAAGCCCAGACGGTGGGGAAGGTGCGGGAGGGAGCCCCTCTCCACTGGCTCTTCCGGGAGGCCTTTCCAGCTGCTGTTCAACTGAGATCCGAATCCAGATCTCAGAGAGATCTTTGAGAGAGAGGAAGCAGACGCAGGAAAGGGCTTGAGCATGCCCCGTAAATTAGGGAAATGATGTTGGGATTGTAGCGGCCGCCCGATGACTCCGGGCTTGGAAGTTTGCGTTTTGACTGCGCTAGAGTGCCATTGAAGGATTTTGTGTTCCTAATCCAAAGTAGGGTCTGTAAGCCGGTGAGCACATAAAGTATGGACTACAATGTGCTATTGAGGTTTTATGTTGCACTCAAGTGGTTAAAGCTTGATTTAGCTACTGCTAATAGTAATACATTTGAAATCTGCTTAAAAAGAATAAACAAGCCTCCAGTTACTAACATTCTTAGTTTATGTTGAAGAGAAATCACAAAAGACCACCTCCCCAACAAAATCTCTCTCTCTCTCTCTCTCTCTCTCTCTCTCTCTCTCTCACACACACACACACACACACACACACACGGACACTTTTGATAAAGGAGTGAAGACCAAAATTCTTGGCTTCATTTCTGTGTGAAATTTCCTGAAGACATTCACTTCTCTCATGTATCCAGGTTTCCCATATGTGGTTGTTCTTTTTTGGTGGGACTAGAGTTTAAACTCAGGGCTTCACATTTGCAAAGCAAGTCCTCTATCACTTAGGCCACACCTCCAGTCCATTTTGCTCTGATTATTTTAGAGATGGGGTCTTGCGAATTGTATTATTATGCTCAGGCTGGTCTCCGAAGTTGCTTGGATCACAGGCGTGAGCCATGTGCCCATCCTGCTGATGGTTCTTAAACATAAAGAGCACAGACCTTTCCTACTTTCAGCTCAGGTATGCCCTACTAGCCTGGTACTCCATCTGTATGTCCTACAGGCACCTCAGACTCAAAAGCCCCAAGTCTTGCCACACACAGACACCCCCCCAACCTGTTTTTTCCTGCTGCTGGTCCTCTGCCACCTGTCCTTTAGCTTGGTTGCTAATTCCTTGCACACACACTAATTTGTGCTGAATGCACAAGCTTGCTCTGGACTCCTCTCTTCCTCATCTTCAGTCCTGCCTCCTTCACCTCCTGAATCACTCTCCTTTTAGCTCACCTACATTTCTGCACCTACTTGCTCCCTAACTTGTTTCCTGTACTCTGTGTTTGTGTTTCCCTGGACCTGTCCACCACAAACCAGCCTCAGTCATCTTCCTTAAACAAATCGATTGCATTACCACCTTCTTGAAGTCAGGATCTGCTCTTCCTGCCTAAACTTCCTGCTTTGTCAGCAGAATCCTTGGTGGCTCACAGGGGACCACACAATGTTCTTCACCTCCCTGCAAAGAATCCACCTCTTTTCCACTCCCAGCATTCAGTTCAGTGTCACTTCCTCCAAAAAGCCTTCCCTCGCATCTAACACTCCACTCCTCTAGGGTTGGAGAACACCAGTGTCCTTATTGTAGCACTAGCTACATTTCTCTTTTTTTTTTAAACTGGGTCTCACTATGTAACCCAGGCTGGCCTCAAACTCACAATCCTCTTGCCTCAGCCTCGAGTGCTGGGATTACACGTGTATACTGCCTCTTAATTATCTGTTGATGCGTGGTTTTTCCACCAAACACTGAAAGCTTCCCTCTGTTTTCTTACCTGGAAGTGGGAGCACATCCAGCCTTACAATGGCCTGGCTGGGGACAAGAGCAATGACAGCCTGCTGCTCAAGCCCTTTTGCAGGACCCTGAGGCCAGTCAGTTCACACCAGTGCCCTAGGTCCTGCCTGGTTAGCACCCACCACACCAGAGGTGCTTTTCTTGTTCCCTTGTTCACCACCATATCCATAGTGCATGGAGTATAGTGGGCCCATAAAAAATAGTTCTATAGAGTAAAGCCTTAGTAATAATGGGACAAGACAAACCAAATCTGTGGCACAGCTAGTCCCCATCAGAATAGAAACATAAATTTGGAAATAATTTAACTTTCATTGACAGGTTCAAATTTTTAGCATCTTGTTGGGAAATCTGAGATGTTAGTCTTTCTGAAACACATGGGTGTCAGCAACATCAACAGGTTAATCTGTGGTCTTAAAACCAACTGCAGCTATTTATATGCTTGTGCTATAACTGTTGGAATTGTGTCCCTGCTATCATGAAACTGTCATTGTCCGTGGGTCTTGTTCATAATAGCTCATTTGTCCCAATAAAGTCATTCATTCATGTGTCCAGCAAACATGTACGACAGCACCAACTGTGTGCTCTTATTATGTCCACTGTTCTTGGCACTGGAAATACAGTAGTGAACCAAACAATCCTGCCTGCTTTATCAACTGTCCCGCTTTAAATACTTAACATCTGCTGAAGCTGGGATGCATCTCAGGATCAACCTCAGGACATGTTCATTCGTGTCATTGCTTTCTTTTTGGTGTCTTTGAATGAGTGCAAGTAATGGGGAAATCAGTGCTTTTTCTTACTGATGGAATTGGAATTCTCACCTAAGAGTGTAACAAGCAGGAGTTGGGTGGGGTTTGGCCATAGTGGGCACTGTCCCCATCCTAAGTAGCCCCTGTGCTCACTTCATGGAGAAGGGTGGCTGTCTGCTTTTCTCATCTCAAAACTTACTGGTACTTCCTGTGTCTGCATTTCTCACTTTCGTATTTGCCTCACCCATTTTAAAATAGCTAAACCAGAATTGTTGTCAGAAGCTTAGTTTTATTAGGCTTCAAATTTTTTTCTCCAACGAGAAAAGATAGATTGATATAAAAATAGATTGAAATGATAAGTTGTAGAATTGTTTCAGGTATGTATGTTACCTTCTAGAGTTTTGAAATAAATTAAATACTGAGTATTTCTCCCTTTCTAGATGCTTCAAAAATTGGTACCTTGTTTTTCACCTACTCAATTCATAGGTGAAAACAAGTGATTTGTCACTATGTACATTAAAAATAGATGGTTTTCTGGAGGCAGAACTTGAAAAGACTGCAGGTTAAGAAAGTGAGCCAGTCATAACAACATCCACCAGTGGAACAGTGCCTTCCTCTTACAGGGTGCTTTGCATACGTGCTTTTGATCTTGACCCTAACCATATAACATACCTATAATATAAGGAGAGAACTGAGGCTCAGGGGTCAGCTGACAGTTTTCTGATACTGTGCACTTATCATAGCTGAGACTATACTTTGTTTCCACCACGTTCTTTGTCTTGCTTCAGTAGAGATGAAACAGGATGTGCTGTCCTGTCCAGCTCCCTTCCCTGCCTGCTATCCAGGGTCGACTGCCACTCCCACTTTGTTGAAATCTTCTGTTTTCAATAACAGAAGCCTCTTTAGCACATCATATTGTTCCTGTAATAGATGGGATTGTCCAAAGATATTAGGCATGTCACATCCCTTACCATTGGCTTGCCATACTGGTATACTTGTGAGAACCATCTGGGGATAAATATACACTGTGCTGCTTTGTAAGTGAGAAAGGCCAGATTACTGATATGATATAACTGCACTCCTGAATGCACGTAGGAATCTGTAAGGACACACATTAGGTAGGCAACACAGCCCCTCTGGAGAGGAGACTGGGATTGGGTGGCAATAAACTAGGCGCACTTTTGACTGTAACATTCGGTGGTAGCATATAAATTTTTTGCAAAATGAATTGCCACTCATCAGAACATCCAAGCCTCGCTAGTTTTGTTGTTTGTTTGGTTTTGGCAGTACTGGGGTTTGAACTCAGGGCCTCATGCTTTCGAGGAATGTGCTCTATCACCTCAGCCACTCCATCAGCCCTTTTTTCTTCAGCTGTTTTTCAGATAGGTTCTCATGTTTTTGTCCAGGGCTGGCCTCAGACCCTGATTCTCCTCTCTAGGGCCTCCAGCATAGTTAGGACTATAGACACACACTGCCACACCTGACTTGGTTGAGCTTTTTTTTGTTGGGGTGGTGCTCCAACCTCAATTCTTCCTATCTCCACCTTCCAATTAGCTAGAGTCGTAGGCATGTGCTTCCATACCGAGCTTAAGCCATAGTTGCTTTAAGGGGAAAGTAAAACAGCTTTGAGCAGGAGTTAGCTAGTGACACCAAAACACCAGTTTCTCCTTGGAAACTGCTCCCAGATGGTCTCTGTTCTCAGGCTCTCCTCCTGACCAGAGGGTGGTTGGGCTTGGGAAATGACTAGCATGTGCCCACCATCTGTGAGAAAGACATGGACTTTCCTAGGGCCTGAACAGAGGATCTTTCTCTGTGGAGGATCTGTCATTTGTGCTTTCTTGAATGTCCTGTGGCCCAGTGAATTCCTGCTGATTTGGCTTCAGTCCTACCCTGAAAGTGGATATCCTTGCTGAGGAGGGGTGTAACAGCAGCTGCTAGGCAAAAAACAGGAGTGCCAGGCCTTGACCTTGAGCAGTAACCTGTCTCCCTTAATCCTCTCTTTTGCTTGTAAGTTCTTTAACATTCGTGGCTTTCCAGTCACATTCTGAAGAGTTTCTTTTAAAAAGAGAAAACAGCCAGACACCAGTGGCTCATGCCTATAATCCTAGCTGCTCAGGAGGCAGAGATCAGGAGGATCTTGGTTCAAAGCCAGCCTGGGCAAATAGTTCACGAGACCCTCAACACGAAAAAGAGCTGATGGAGTGGCTCAAGTGATAGAGCACCTGCCTAGCAAGTGTGAGGCCTGAGTTCAAATGCCCCCAAAAAGGAGAGAGAGAGAGAAGCAGCCATGGTATCACTTAGGCAGTGTCATGCACCGTGTTTTCTTTTGTTACATATGAAAAGTGCCCTCTTCTCTGCTTCACTATTTCCCAGCAGCCAGCCGGGGTTTCCAGTGTGTCCCTCCCCTAGTATCTGTGAACCAGATTCCAGGCATCTCGTTCTGTGTCCATACACTTCAGTGTATGACTCTGGAAGAGTGAGGCTCTTAAGCGTAGTCACAGTGCCATCATTGAGCGCCAAAATCTTCAGCCCGGCATGATGCACACCCCTGATCCCAGCCCTCGGGAGAGGCCGGGACACCAGAGGATCTCAAGAGAAACAAAACAACGACAGAAACCCTTCATATCATGAAGTACTCTCCTGAGTTTTTCTCCACAGTCTTATACATGGTGTTGGGTTTTGGGGTTGGAGAGGCAGTACTGGGGTTTTGAACTCAGGGCCTCACAGTTGCTAGCCACACCCCAATCCTTCATACATGTTTTTCTGATAAATCAGAATCCAAGCGAGACAGCTGTTTCATTTGGCTGGTGTGTCTGCTAGCTTAGCTTCTAACACAGCTCTTGCCCTCTTTTTTTTTTTCCTTGCTATTTATTTGTTGGAAGATGTAGCTCAAACTTTCGTTTTTTAAGAATATTTAAACAGGCTGGTCTGTGTTTTTGCTACTGCGTCTCCCCCTGCATCTAATAAATGACTGTCTAAGTTGCCATTAATGAGTAGGTTTGAGCAGTGTTAGTCTGGTCCATCCTTTTTAAAGGTCCTCAGTATCTTTTCACCTAATGTTTTAGCAGCCATTGGTTCTTACCCAGATCTGCCAATTCACTAGGGACAAATGCATTCTTTGAAAATGACCAACTATAAGACATAAGCGCAAATTGCCATGGCAAAAAAAAAAAAAAAGTTGGCTATCCTGACAGCAGTTGGATCTGCTGTGGTGGAATTCATGCCATGGTTACATTGTTAAGTGAAGATCTCTAGGCATGACTTATTAGTAGTAAAGGGGAGGGAAGCCAGTTGGCATAACATCTGTACAACTCTTGAAGGAAATGTACCTTAATTAATTTTACTAGGGTTTCTAGTGTCTTAGCTTTAAGTGGAAAACTGTCACAAAATGACAGTGAATTGGAAATCAGTCTATAAAATACAGTAGGCTCACTCTGCCAAATACACTAAATAAATGTCAGCCCGGTACAAGGGGTCTTTTTGTCACTTTTTAGTCATCTTTAGAGTGTGAGATCACACTATTAGAATATAAGAAAAGTAATACTTGTTTGCATTTACCTAGTTTACCCCATTTGCTGCTCCAAGTGATGTTTCCTATTACTTCCTACTAAAATATAAGTTAAGGTCATTTGTGTCACACAAACCTGAGGATTGTGTTTGTTCTCTGATTTCGTGGTCTAGAGGTTGGAAATTCCGGCAGCGCTCTGGCCTCATCATTTTGTGATTCCTCCTATGACTTAGCACATACTTCCTGACCCCTGCAGTGGGCCAGGAAATGCAGGCAGAATGAATCTGTTGGTTCGGTCACAGATGGTATGGCAGAGGAGGAGCCAACCTAGGGCATGTAGCTTGAAACAAAGTAAAACTGCCCAGGAAGTGATGGCTGTAAGAAGAGGGAGATTAGCATCAGCCAGGTTTCCCTACAGCAGGATCCTTAAAGGGGTCAGTTCAGCAAAAATATTACAAAGCATCATCAGTTTCCTCAGGGCCTTTCCCAGTCCTTTAGCTCTCAGATCTACTGTTGGGAACCTCCTGCCCCCTCAGCGTGGTTGATCTTCTGTTCCTTGGGAGTGAGTCTGCCAGTTGCTGGGGGCGTCAGTGTTACCAAAGAGACCTGCATCTTTCATAGGATTTGCAGTCTTTCTGTCTCTCTCTCTCTCTCTCTCTCTCTCTCTCTCTCTCTCTTTCTCTCTTTCCTTCCCTCCCTCCCTCCCTCCCTATCTCTCTCTCCCTCCTTCTCTCTTTCTTCCTTTTCTCCCCCATCCTCCTCCTCCCTCTGCCTTGCTCCTCCTCCTTTGGTCACACTGGCTCCCTTGCGTTGCTTGGAAGGTAAAGCTGCATGTACAGCAGTTTATATGTTCATTTATAGCATTAAGAAAATGTGTAGACAGAAAAAATTTAAAAAAAAAGAAAATGTGTGCTTCAGATTTTTTTTAAAAGGTTTTAAAATGGGAGAAAATAAATGTATGTGGTATCATTTTTGCCACTTCTGTGGCAACTCTGATCTTTAAGAAAAAATATGTAGACTCTTAAGATTTTTGTGCTATTTTCGCCCTGCAGGAGGTTTTAGTCAAGAGGAACTCCTAAAAATATGGAAAGGACTCTTCTACTGCATGTGGGTGCAGGACGAGCCTCCTCTGCAGGTAACGCAGCCCTTCCTTGTGTTCCTGGATAAAAGAGACTTAACCGTTTACCCTCCATCAGTCTGCTGATGTACTAAACAGATGGAAATAAACGTCTTCAGGAGCCATTTCCTCACCTCTAATCCGTACAGAAAGGGATGTAGCGCCAGCATTTAGGATTTAGGTTAATTTTGTTTTCAAATACTCTGGGCGCACTAAGTCGTAGATTTACTGTTTCTCTTGTCAGCATTTCGGCATTTTGTAGCTTCCATGGCATGTTTCACATTATGTATTTTCAAGTTTTTGTTCACCTCGTGTTGTCAGAAACCACAGCTGGAGCACTAGTTAAGACTCTGGGAGAGCCAGGACAAGCCAGCAGGCAGCCCTTTTGGCCAAAGTGTTCTTAACCAGTAAAGGTTGGTGGGAACTGCACTGGTAACCAAAATATGTCTTAACCTGACCCCTGTTTGCTGAGCATCTGAGCCCCACTACCAAAACTGCTATAGCAAATCTTTGTTCTGGTGTCTGAAGGCCTTGGTAGTGGTGAGGAGTGGGGTTTGGGAGGCTCCATGCAAACATGTGCTGCAGAAGTCCCTGGGCAGCACTCCCTGTTCCGGGGTTCTGTGTGCACTGCAGACTTGCCACTTCTCCCAGGCCATGTAACTACTTGTTTTGATTTATTATGTTACTTTGCTGAACATAATTTGAGTGGGATAGCATGGCAAAATATTTTCAGATTTCATTCAAGAGTAACAACAGCAGCTTTAGTGGAGGAAGAGAACCAACACATAGGCTGGCATTCATTTTAAATGGGTGAGGAAAATTGAGCATAGAGAAGTGTGAGCTGGGCCATTGAGAACAAGGCTCTTTCAGAGCGGCTGCGTTACATTGCTGGAGACAGGCTTCGCCCTGGGACCAGCCCACCGAGAACTCCTACACAGGCACTTGGTGCTTAGCAGGTGTGCTCTTCAGAGGGCACTGTTCCCTAGGAGGGTCCTGTCTCACCTTTGCAAAAACTGAATTAAACTGTACCCAAGAACCAGTGTAGCAAACCTGCGTCTTCTGTCTTTTGCAGCATTTGGTGATTGTGATAATTTTAAAAGCCAGGGATCAGCAGCTGATTGTTTCTTCTGTGGGTCGTTCAAACTGCTTACCAGAGGTGCTTGTTTAAACATGCAGCTTAAACTATTCCCAGAGACACATCACGTTAGCACAGCAGCCCGTTGAAACTGGGAATTTCATGTTTGTTGAAGCCCAGGTACTTAGGCACACTCCTTGGTGGCAGTGCACTGAGGATGGCAGGTGCTGTCTTTCCCGCCAGCAGGAGGGAGGAGGAAGCAGGTCATGGTGCTGCCGTGAAGTACAACCACCTAATGACCCCTGATGTTTCTCCCCAATCCACCTTTGCAGGAGGAGCTAGCAAACACTGTTTCCCAACTCATCCATGTTGTCAACAACTCAGAGGCTCGTAAGTCCTGGCATTTTCATGACTTTCAAACCTTCCTTGCTCATCAGCTCTAGGAAATCTAGTCAGTATATTTTCTTCAAAGTTTCAGTGTTCCAGGTGCTACTTTAACATGAGCCTGCTGCTGGTACTGTGTAGCTGTCAGGTGACGAGCTGTTTTTGTTTCTAAAATGTATGATAAACTTAAGTATCAGTTGCTAGCAGGGCGAAGGTGCTATCTGGTGGAGAATGATTTGACATCTCAAAGATACTATGAGTTCCAGTTACTCTTTAACAGTCTTAGAGGCCATAGATTCATATGTTAGTGTTTTACAACATAGTAACCTATGGAGCGGGTGTGTCCTTACCAAGATTAGAGCTGTCATGGGTAATAAATAGACAACACCGGTGGTGATACAGTATGAGGTAACTCCTCTCTATCAAAAAGAAAAGACAAAGGGGAAATTAAGATTACTGAGAGGCTTTGATTGCTTACCCAGGAAGAAAGGACAGCAGAATTTGTTCTGTGTAGCACTGCTCAGAACAAAACCATCCTCATGACTAGAGTAACACTCAGTGATTCTCTGAAATTTAGCTGAGTCAGAATGACAAAATTAAATATTTGATGTGTAGTGTAGATCTGCATATGTTAAGAAAAACCTGTGTGGAGTATGGTGGCACATGCCTGTAATCCTAGCACTCAGGAGGTAGAGGAGACAACTAACATCAGAAGAAAAGCTGAGTTTCTACTTGGATTGTGTTACGTGCTCATCAAGATTAATGAATTTGCTTTAAAAAAAAAATAATGGCTCAAGACTGGTTGTTAGGTGGAGGTGCAGAAAGGTGTTGGTCAGGGACCTTGATTTTAACAGAATGTGGCTTTGCAGTAGAGAAAGGAAAATGCTCCAGGAAGCACTCTAAAGGTACTGCCAGCCTTCCTGTTACAGTGTTTTCATGTGAATGTAAAGGAAATTACTGAGTTAGTGGCCAGATTTTCTTGCTGCCCAAGAATTCTTGAGATAAGTAGGTAAACAATGTAGTTTGCCTCTCTCCACCGTGTTCTTGCTATGTGGTCATATGCTAACCTGGAAAGTAAGCAGTCAGAGTTTCTTGTTCCTGCAGAATACCTGTTCATTCAGACCTTTTGGCAAACGATGAATCGAGAATGGAAAGGGATAGACAAGCTGCACCTGGACAAATACTATATGGTAAGGTCTTCGCACCTCTTCCACAGTGACACAGTGACTAGTGCCTATGTGCAGAAAGAACATTCTGTGTCTAGCCAGGTGCCGGAGGTTTGGCTCACACCTGTAATCCTAACTGCTTGGAAAGCTGAGATCAAGAGGATCCCAGTTTGAGGACAGCTCAGGGAAATAGTTCATGAGACCTCCATCTCCAAAATAACCACAGAAGGGCTGGCAGGGTGCCTAGCAAGTGTTAAGGCCCTGAGCTATTGGGGACAAGACTGAGGATCATTAGTGAACCTTGTTCTCTTGAGATTGTGCCCAAGCTGGTCTCCAGATCCTGGGTTTAGATGTACACCAGCATGCCTGGCTTGACAGTTTGTAGTCTAGAAGTTAAATAGAGACTTATTACGGATATTGTTTGACTTTCGGGATCCAGGCTAACCAATGTCAATGCTCTCTTCATGTGCCAGGCTGGTTAATTTTCTCACAAAGATTGTCTGTTTCAGTTGATCCGGCTGGTCCTGAGGCAATCCTTTGAAGTTTTGAAGCGGAATGGCTGGGAAGAAAGGTTGGTAAACTATTTGAGTTAGCTTCGGTGACCTTAAAGACTTGTAACTGTTGGGGGTCTAGCTCAGTGGTACAGTGCTTACCTAGCAGTGCAAGGCTCTGGGTTTGAGGATTAGCACTGGTGGGGGCGGGGGAACCTATAGGATAATGAATAGGGTGTTTTTCAAGCTTTTCAGTTAATTGGAAAATATGAATTGCCTGATCTGTACCTACCGCTCTATAGAATGCTATGAGAAGTGAAACATATCTTTATCCAGTGAGAACTTAAAATCCAGTAGTGGGGCATATATGACAGTTAACATTTTATCTAATTTAAGTGACTATTTTTTTCCATAAAACTTTTTTAGCTTTACATTGATTGTTATAATGTGCAAGCACTACACTCAGTATTTTTATTTACACTTGGGAAAGAAAAAGGTGTTGGCATGCTGTCATTAAAAGAACCCTGTGTGTGCTGGCAGAGTGTCTCAAGTGGTAGGGTGCCTGCCTGGCAGGTGCAAGCTCTTGAGTTCAAGCCCCAGTACCAATCAATCATTGAATGAATGAATGAACAAACCCTGTGTGTTCTTTTCTTCAGCCGAATCCAGCTTTTTCTAGATGTCCTGATGAAGGAAATCCTGTGTCCTGAGAGTCAGTCTCCTGATGGAGTGAGATTCCACTTCATTGATATTTATCTGGACGAGTTATCCACAGTGGGAGGGAGAGAGGTAAGCGGGCAGATGCTCTGCCAGCAGTGGGATGTAACCCTGCTGCTTGGGGAGTTGTCAAGGAATGCTGTCTGTTGACATCAACACCAGTGACAGTAGCAGCATAAATTGCTTCAACCTACTCAGCACAGTCATTCTCCATCTGTCCCAAACAGCTTAATGGAGCATGTGGACAAAGAACAAGCACCACGCATGAGCATGGCACTGTCTGTAAAACAGCACTGAGCCAACCTCTGCTGGAGAAGCTGAGGCAGGATCACTTAAGCCCAGCCAAGACCACACAGCAAGGCCCTGTCTCTTAACAGTGGCTCCCGCCTGTAATCCTAGCTGCTCAGGAGGATCCTGGTTGGAAGCCAGCCCGGGGAAATAGTTCACGAGTCCCTATCTCAAAAAAACCCATCACCAAAAAGAACTGGTGGAGAGGCTTAAGGTGTAGGCCCTGAGTTATACTCACATAAATAGATGTAAAGCTGGAAAGGAAATGGACATTTTTAGAATGTGAGTAATTATCTGAATTTAGGAATATGAGCAATTTTTACTTTTTTCTTTCACAAGTGTTCCATAGTGTACATATTTTTTTTAAGTAAAGGAAAATATAAGCAGGCACCTGTGGCTCACACCTATAATCCCAGCTACTTGGGAGGCTGAGATTGGGAGGATCGAGGTTCAAAGCCAACCTGGGTACAAACATTTGTGAAACCCCCATCTCAGTAGAAAAGAACTGGGCATGGCGGTACATACCTGCCATTGGGAAGGCAGAGTTAGAGTTGAGGTTCCAGGCCAGTGTAGAAAAAAAGGTAGCAAGACCCTATCTCAAAGAACCAAGGCAGGTGTGGTGGTACCTACATCCGTAATCTCAGCTACACGGAACGCAAAGGTAAGATGATCAAGGTCTGAGGCCCTATCTGAAAAATAGCTAAAGCTTTTAAAATGGGCTAGAAGCATGGCTCAAGTGACAGAGCTCTTGCCTAGCAAGTGCAAAGCCCTGAGTTCAAACCCCAGTACCACAAAAAAAGAAAAAGAAACAAGGCCTTCGTCTCCCGGTTTGAAGTACATGATATAGCAGGAAGCATGTGTATTTTAGAGCAGCCTGGCTGGTTGGTGGTCCTTGGGCTGTTACAGTAAGATCCCAGGTGGCTGGAGGATGCCCTTAACCATGAGCCTAGCCACAGTTCTGGGCAACTCCCACAAGTGTTTAGGGTTGCCCAAGAAGAGCATCACTGCTTCCGGTTCAACCTGTGAGAAATGCAAGCAGTCTTGTCATTTTGTTGCTGTTTTTCTGATTTTATGTCTACAGCTTTTGGCAGATCAGAACCTCAAGTTTATTGACCCGTTCTGCAAAATTGCTGCCAAGACTAAAGAGTAAGTGACGTGTTATTTTTACGGCTTCGGTTGGTACTTCAGGGCAAGGGTTCTGTTGTGCAGCCTGATTCAGGTCAGGGCAAGGGTTCTGTTGTGCAGCCTGATTCAGGTCAGGGCAAAGGTTCTGTTGTGTAGCCTGATTCAGGTCAGCTGGGGCTGTTGTCCAGCACCATGCTTCACTTGAAGCATTGAGCAGCAGTTCAGCTCTCCCAGCTTCGGTGTTTGACCCAGTCTTTCCAGGAGCACCTTCCCACACCCAGAGCCCTGCCTGTTGTGTGTCCCTCAGCATCTGTCCCATGGCAGTCGCGCAAGAGGGTCATTAGGGACACCTGCTGACACCTGCTGACCCATTGTCAGTCACACTAGGCCCAGACATGCTGCAGTTGCCTGTGCAGCACACCCTCTGCTTCCCTTCAGCTTGGCTCCTTTCTGTGGGAGGCCCAGACTGCTCTAATTAGTCTCTACTCTTGCTTCCACCCTCAGCCACACACTGGTGCAGACGATAGCTAGGGGTGTCTTTGAAGTCATCGTGGATCAGTCTCCTTTTGTACCTGAAGAGACTGTGGGAGAGCAGGAAACAAAAGGGGGTGAGAATGACCTTTCTGGAGCAGAGATTCCTGCAGTCCAGGCCACGTGGAGAAAAGCTGTCAGTAGAAAGAAGATAGGTGAGAATCTCCATGAGTGGGCTTCCCTCTTTTGTGTTTGGTTTTTTGTTTTTGTTTTTGTTTTTTTTCAGTTGTTCCTTTTAATCCCTAATGCAGCCTAGAGTTGATTCCTTGCACCTCTCCCAAGAAAGGAGGCAGGGTGTGTCTGTAAACCACTAGCATTGTTCTCTCTACTGAGTTATATCCCTGGAGCCTCAAAGTGTGGGATGCCTTTGAAGTTGCAGCCCAGAACCCTCACCTTGGTCTATGGCATCACAGTGAGAAAGGGAGGTAAATGGTTAAGTCAGAGATTATTATCCACCTCTTGGAAGCTATATAGCCTGATATTAAGAAGCAAAGCTTCTAAAAACTAATGACCGAAAGAAATTCAGTCTTTTTTTTTTTTTTTTTTTGTAAAAAGCAAGACACAAAACATTGTGTAGTGCCTTTAAAATCTAGAAGGACAGACTGGGAATGTAGCTAAGTGGTTGAGTGTTTGCCTAGCATGCACGAGACCCTGGGTTTGATTCCCAGTACTAAGAAGAAAAAAAATTTGGAGAGAGCAGAGTGGCAGTATTGTGTTTCCTGAGCCACCTCCTGAGAAGTCAGTGCCCTGTTGAGCATCCCAAATCCAAAAATGCCCCAACAGCTCAGAAAACTGTCCAATTTTGGAGTATTTCAGATTTTGGGGTTAGGGATCCTTAGCTGGTAAAATCTATGCAAATATTCCAAAATCCACAAAGCTCCTAAATCTGAAAAGCTTCTGGTTCCAGGCATTTCAGGTAAGGGATACTCAGCCTGGACAAGAGATTCTCAGTGTGGCTCTAAACTTACCCAGAAGTAGCAGCAGACTCCTGTGCCCGTCCATTCCCCTCCTCATAGTCAGCTGCATGGAGCCCTGGCCCACTTACCTGAGTCCCCTCGGGCACAGCTTGCACATGGGATGATGTGTGTCATAGGGAAGGCAGCAGGTTTCTGTGTGCTTGCTATGGAGTGATTATGAGTAGCAGAGGCAAAATGTGTGCTTTCTCTATCCTCTTTTCCAGGGCTGAATAACAAAAACATCTTTGGTAAATCATAAATATAGGTAGAGGTTCTTCTGAAGAAATTTTCCTTTTCACTAAGAGACACCTAATCAGAGTGGCTCCTGGGAAAGCAGTCATTGATGCCTTCTTGGGTATTGAGAGTTTTGCCTTTGGTTTTGTTTTGACAGCATTAGGCAAATGCTTGTCTGGGAGAGATGGAGTCAGTGATGAACCAGAAAGAGATGGCTGTGCAACCTCCGAGGACACAGGGCCACTCCTCCAGGTGGGGGCTGCTGTTGCTTTAATAAGATTTAGATTTATTTCATGGCTGGAGAATTAGGGCCTGAGGTGTAAAGTCTTTTCTAATCCCTTCTGTCACTAATGTCACCTTCCTTACCAGGAGCTTATTGGACACTAATTCAAATAAGGTGGGGCTTTAAAAGATTTACCCACATTTTGAATTGTTGTGGTCTGTTCTTTTGTATGCAGCAGAGCCAGATCTAGTAGCACTTTTTGAATACAAAAGGTGACTGTTTCCAAGTACAGACTGGGAATCTAGGTTAGGCAGGCAATTTTGTTAAAAGGTGGGGCGGTTGACCTGCTGGCTTCTCCCAAGAGTGTGGCTCTTTTCAGCAACTGGTACTCACCTTTTGCTGTTTTTAGCACGCACTCACTGAGACCATAGCCCAGGCATCTTTCTTACCGAGAGACACGTGCTTCCAAGTCAGGCCACATTGTTTTGCCGCTGCTTATGTTCAGTTTCCCTTCGTAGTTTGACTATAAAGCTGTTGCCGACCGACTCTTGGAAATAACCAACAGGAAAAACACTCCTCCTTTCAACCGGAAGCGTCTCTGCAAACTGATCAAGAAGTAAGCAGTTGGGTGAGCGGGCTCCTCTGGTTATCTCATGGCGTAGGACCAGCCCTCTGCATGCTTACCTTTTTTCTTTTTCCTTTGTCCTTTAACTTTTTTGTTTGTAATGATGTAACACACACATGAACTGCACTTTAATGAAAGCAGCTGCCCCTGTCCCTTGAGTTCTGTTCCTCAAATGCAGCCACACTCCTCTCTTCTAGCTGCTTGATAGTGACGCCTTCTGAAGTCTACGAGCAGTAGATGAAGAAACTGGCGTCAGTCTGCTGCGTAGGTGTCAGCTGTCGCTGTATAAGATAGGTAGGGGCTTAGCCGTCTGCCCTTGCCCTTTCCTTCCAGCAGTTTCATCATGATGACATGATGGTACGTGATTCACCAGAAAGCCCCACAAGACATTGAGACTTACGACAAATCACACCCTTTGTGTGGACTGGTCACTGATCTGAGCACTGTCATTTATCTCTTCATGTTAAGAAACCTTTAGAAGGTGGCATTCCCCATTTTATAGCTGGGTCCCTGAAGGCCCGGAGGAGGTGATATGCTAAGGTTGCTGCAGTAAGGCCTGGAGCCAACCTAATTCCCCCAGCTTCCGTTCGTCTCCCATGTATCATATACAGCCCCTGTTGGTTTGGTTTAAAGCCCCAGAATTATATAAAGAGAACACAACTTGGCATGTTTCCCTTGGAGAATTGAGCATAAGCATAGTCCTCAGCTCTTTCTACCTTTAGAAACAAGTGAAGAAGAAATTGAATTGCTGGGTAGTTTTGTATGTGCCAAAACAGACCCTTTAGACCCCAAGTCCTCCGACCTTGTGGTGAATGAGAGGGGCTGTTTCTTCCCCTGGCTACACCTTCCCTCGGAGGAAGTCCTCTCCTGCCCCCTCTGCTGGAGGAAAAAGAAGTGAGCAAGTAAATATCCAGCTTGCTGTGGTAGAAGTCCCATGTGTGTGGTAGATAAAAAGGATTTCTATGGACTTCTGTGATGTTTTCTTTTTCAGGTTCCAGGACCTCTCTGAAGGTGAGGAGAATCAGAATTGTAATTCAGAATATTCTGACTTAACATGCCCGGCTGAGGGCGCCTCTGCCGGATGCAGGAAGCCGGAAGGAAGGGCACTCATGGAACATCCTCTGTGAGATAGCATCCCTGGCCTACATTCACCTGGCATACCTGAGGCAGAGGCCGTAGAGAGTGCCATAAGTGCAGGGCTCTTTGCATACACACCCACTTCCAGGTGTCCCCAGTATGCCATGGCCGGGGCAAGCTCCTCTCCTCCCTGCCCTCCCCCATGTGGATAGTGTGTTTTGTTTGGGTCTTTATTTCTTTTTCTCTTTATTTTTAAGCTATATATCTTCTTATATGTATCAAAACTCATATTGAACAGAGGACTGGGTCTTTCTTTTCAACGAGGTGAATTTTTATTGGGTCAGGAAGATTCCAATTTGACCCTTTATGAAGAAGAAAAATCTGATCTCTCAGGGTCCCTTTCATTTGTTTTATGAGCTTGTGTCCCTGGGGAAAACTACTGTAAACTTAGTTGTATCTGGGTAAGCTGCTGAGCCTGCTCACCTACCCCTTATGCATGGGGGCATTTGGAATTGAAGTGAGCACCACAGCCAGGAGGAATGTAGAGGCCACCTTAGCCCACCCCAGGGCTGAGCCACAGAGGGTTGCCCACTGATGCCCTACCTTGCCTTACCCAAGAACCCCACGTGGTTCCTGAGCCAGCAGTTTTCTAGTTGTGTTGGAGAAGCCATATGGGTGGTGACAACGAGGCAGAAATCAGGGTTGCAAATCTCACTTGGGTGGCTCAGGAAGGGCCCAGCTCCTAGGGACAGAGGCAGAAGGTCTCAGAAGCTGACAGTGTCACTTTGGTGTCCAGCAGGCAATATAGCGCAACTCACTTTCACTGAGGACATTTCTGTTGAAGATGATCAAGCCCTCAGTCAAGGAAGGCACAAGAGAAAAAGAAAGAAACTTTTAGAGAAAGCCGAGTTGGAAAAGAAGAAAGGTGAGCTGTGAGGCTTAAGATCCCAGAGGGCAAAGAGAAGGCCCAGTCCCGCAGGTAGTGGGGTGTGCCCCCAAGATCTAGGGAACTTGTGGGCTGAGGTCCATCCTTATAAATCATTAGCAAACCAAAAAGTCTTAGTTTCTAATGACTGAAAAGCAATGGTGTCTTTTCCTGGGCACTTGTCCAAAGGCATCTCTTACTCCGCATGGCAGCTTTACGGAGGAGGAAGGTGATGCACGGACACAGCCAACACTGCCCTTCACAGTGGGGCTGTTTTTGTTTAAATAATTTTTTAATTAACTGGGTTAATTGCACATAGAGTTTCATTTACTAGGTGCATATACCTAATAAATACATCTGATGTACTTTGTACTCTATACTCTTTCATACCTTCCTCCTCAGTTTTTACTTAGTTTCAGTGTGCTATTTTCATACACATTATTTATATATATATATATTATATAATATATATATGTATATATATAATATATATATATATATAAATAATGTACTTTGATCATATTCACCCCGTATCTATCTAGTCTCTGCCTCTCTGGTTTTGGGTTTGTTGTTTTTGGTGCAGGGAATGGAAGCATGCGCTGTACCACTTAGCTACACCCAGCCTTAGAGCAGGGAGTTCTTTACTGCTCAGGATCTGTGGCTTTGTGTTTCTGGGTTTTTTTGTTGTGGTACTGGGGTTTGAATTCAGGCCTCATACTTGCTAGACAGTGTTGTACCACTTGAGCCATGAGCTTAATCCAGGATCTTCTGGCATTAAAATATGAGAGCCACGATTGCTTCAGTATAGTTTTGCTGAAGTGGACTTCAGAAAAGTTTCCAGTCTTACTGGAAAGGAGGAAACAGGACCAGATGACAAAGCTAGCCAATACACCAAGTGCATCACGGAGGTCAGAGCTTTTCTGCATAGACAGGCACTGGTGGCGCACGTCAGTAATCCTAGCTACTTGGGAGACTGAGATTTGAAGGCTTTTGGTTTGAAGCCAGCTCAGGCAAGTAGTTCTGGAGACCCCATCTCCAAAATAACCAGAGCAAAATGGACTAGAGGTTTGGCTCAAGCAGCAAACTGACTGCTTTGCAAGTATGAAGCCCTAAATTCAAACCTCAGTCCCACCGAAAAAGAAAAAAACTCTCACAACCCAGAGGTCAGGTGTGTGGCTCAGTGGTAGAGGCCCAGGTTCCAACCCCATCAGAAAAGAGAGAGAGGGAGTCAGAAACACTCTGGCTGCCAGTCAGACTGTCTCCCAGCTTTGAGGAACCTGCTTGTTGGTCTGTGTGTCTTTATAGGAAACAAAATCGAAGAAGAGGACAGTGAAGGTAGCACTCAGAAGAGAAAAAGGAAAAAGAAGAGAATCCACTTCCAGTCTGAGAGTCATGGCCCCAGGGATGCTGATGCAACTTTAGTACAGAGCATGAACAGCAAGCCTGAGGCCACTCAGAGGCAGGCTTCCCAGGCACATGTGGCTGATGAGCCCAGAGCAGAGGCTGTGTCCAGCCCCCAGGAGGAGAGCAGCCATGACAATCCCCCTACCATCCCCACGCACAGTAAGAGGAAGCGTCCAAAGAAGAGGAGCCTGAAGGCACACAGAGGACTCTGGAAAGCTTCAGTGTCACCTCTGGAGGATCTGTCTCGGAATGGCCCAAGCCATGAGCATCCTCAGGGGCCTGCTGCCAGGGGTTCCCTAACACAGGGTACTCAGGTCCTGAAAAGGAAGAGGAAACTTGGAGCGCTCCCTGTCAATGGCACTGACCTGGCCCCACCAGCCTGGCCTTCTGCCCAGAAGGCAGGCCCTCCAACAAGCCCAGTAAAGGAAGAGGACAGCCAGACCACCCTGCCTCAGTTCAGGAAGCCACAGAAAAAAAAGGCAGAGCCCACCAACTTTGACCTCCAAAACCTGTCCAGTCAGAAAATAGCAATACTGAAAAAGAGGAAGAAAATGAAAGAGATGTCAAACTTGGTAGAGTACAATGGAGCACTGGAGTTCAAAGTCAAGCAGATTCCAGTTCTGGTAAGCGGGGAAGGGCTCTGGGCAGAGGTGCTCAGGGCTCTCTGCCTCCTGGGGGCCTAGGGTCAAGGGCAGTGGGACCTGGACTGACTAGCAGTTAGGATATACTGGTTTAACACAGCCTTCACCAAGTAAATGAGCAGTCAAGTGCAAGGGCTTGCTACCCACCACCTCCCCATGCCACATGTGCTCAGGGATCAGGAAAGGGTCAGCATTCACCCATGGCAGGCCCAGGCACATACAGCCTCCATCAAGTACTCTTTTTTCATCCGCTCAGCCCATCTGGCCCTTGTGACAAAGAAGCAGCCCACAATTCTCACACACATATGTTTTTAACAAAAAGACTTTCTTTCTGCCAGGATCTCTAGAACCATGTGTAAAGGCAGAATCAGGCTCTTTTTGTGCCTTTTACTTAATGTCTTGGGACACGCATTGTGCCACCGTGTCCCGTTCAGCACAAATATTGTTGGGATACCATACCACCCCGATAGTATCCATGACTACATTCACTTCCCAGCAGCAGAGCTAAGCAGTATGATGGACCTTGTGGCCCACAGAGCTGGAAGTATTTACTCCCTGACCCTACACAGAAAAGACTTACCGACCCTTGTTCCACACTAGTGTTTACTTGTTCCTCTTTGTGGTGGCCGTGACATTGAGGCTGTCTGGCAGTAGCCAGGGTGAGTGAGATCATGATCAAGAACCTTAGCAAGGCAGAGCAGAGCACTGAGCTGGCTTTGAGGAGGTGGTTTCTAGCCTCACAACTGTCCCTAGCTAGTGGTGTCATGCTCTCACTCACTCTCTGAAAGAAGAACAGATGCTGTTTTCAGGCTTGCTGACCGGTCTTAGAATTAAGATTGTTGCTAAGTCATTCCCAGGGCTAAAGGCGGCTTTACCTCCTAATAGGCTGACATGTTGGCAACATCTGTGCCAGCAGTGGTAAGGAGCCCTGGGGTTGTGGTAGCCCTCAGATCTATCCAGAAAAGGCAGTAGACACCAGCCAGGAACACTAAGATCCTGCCAAAATCACTCACATGGTACCACCTGCGTTGGGCTTCCCAGATGTCCAAGACCCTAGAGGCCTGTACTCTGTAGTTTGCCAGTTACACACACACACACACCCACCTACCTACCTACCTGCCTGTTAGGGGCCTGCAGACCCGATGGTAGCACACCTGCCATCCACACCAGACTTGCAACCCACATAGTATCTCCTCACAGGTTAGAAAATTTGTTATATTTAACAGATGGACTTTGAAAGGCAGAGTGATTCAGATCATGGGCTTCTGTGTGTGAAGATGGAGGTGAGAACACATTGCCACCCCTGGTGGTTGGTGCCCTGAGGGAAGTGATTGTCTCACCTGTGAAGTCTGAGCTGTGCTGTGCTGAGCAGAAGGGCTCTTGACAGTCCTGGTGCAGGAAGCAGCAGGGTCAGGGACCAGAGAGTGAGTCTGCCCCCCAGTGGCTTCCACCTCACTGTCCTCATTTTTCTCCCTGTGTGCATGGGCCTGACAGGAGGCTTTGGTGTGACCATCCCTCTTGGCTTCTTGCCCCTTGCTTGCATAGGGAAGCAGCAAGACTTTCAGCCCCCTGAAGAAGAAACCACTGAGGACAGAGAATGACTTTGTGAAGTTTGATACCTCCTCCTTACCAAAGCCCCTGTTCTTCAGAAAAATGAAGAGCAGCACTGCCACCTGCCCTCCGGGTCCTGCCGTCCAGGTGCACCCTCGACACCACATCCTCCCTCCCCTTCCGGGAGCGAGCTCATCCCTCCACAGAGGCACACACAGAAACTTGCTGGCCCTTGGTCCTGTCCCCAGAGGGCAGGTTTCTGCTAACAGCTCAGAAGCTGCATCCTCAGCCCTGTTGGCATCCAGTGACTTCCGAGTGGCTGGGATGAACCCTGCAGGGTCCCAGTCAGGCTGAGATGCAGGTGGTATTTTATTATGCCTCCCAGGCATAATTAAGACCCAGGACCTATAGAGCCTGGCCTTCTCCCAGGAATACTTGTAGTATTAACACAAAAGTGGAATAAGGTAGAAATGAGGAATCCACAGAAAGAAGCACAGAGTTCTGGGGAGGAATTTGAGCCAGTGCTTTGATGATGCAAAATGGGCCAGCTTCAGGGAATTTTCCAAGTAGGAAAGAGTGTAATTAAATTTGATAGACTGTGAGAATATCCAGGTCCTAAAATCCTTGTGCACAGATCACTGGCAAATGCAGTCTGCAATGTGGCTCAATGGTAGAGCACTTGCCTAGTGCAAAAAAAAGCTGGAAAATTCATGTCCAATGCCCATTGGAATTAGATCCCAGTACAGGTCTAGTCTAATTTTATGTATCTGCAAGTTAAATCTGACAAACTGCACAAAATGAATGGGGATTAACATTTCCATACAGTCTTTCAGTGATGAGTTTGGGGGGTTTCAGACCCCCGCTTCCTTCACTGAGAACACAGTCCTGTGGCCATTCTGATATGGGTGACTACACTGTTGGCACCCACTGTCTGCACCTAGCCACCTCACAGGTTGAGGGAAATGTGCCTGTATAATATAAATTAATTATAATATTAATTATATTAATATATAAATTAATTATAATATAAATGCAAAGGCATTGGCCACAGGCCTGGTAAATGGTAGCAAGGGCTAATTTAGGCCCGTGGTGTGCTGTCCTTTGGCCTCTGTGCATATGTGTGGGTCAGTAAACAGAAAGTTTGAGCTCTCCTATCTGGGTGAGTTTTCCAGGAAAATCCCCAGACAAGGAAACTGCATACCTGTGTTACTGTGCACTACTACTTTTGTTGTTACTTTTCTCCTACAGCTGAATAAAACACCCTCCAGCTCCAAAAAAGTCACCTTTGGTCTCAACAGAAACATGACTACAGGTGAGTCTGGTATGCTTCTGGGAGACTGTCCTCAAGAGCACAGCCCAGTAAGGGCTGCCTCAGGGTCCCATGGGAGCTAAGGCCAAGGTCCCTAGTCCTCTCTGCCTGTTCTGAGTCAGTAGTACCCTGGGGGTCAGGAGCAGGTTTCCTAGGACCTCTTGAGGTCCCTGATAAAATGCAAGGTGAGAAGCCTCTTGCCTGGGCACCTCCCTAATTCTGTCCCACAGACTGTTGATAGCCCCTGGTCCCTCTGCCTGAGTTGCCTCTGCTAAAATTCAGGATTGCCGGCTTCCTGGGAGGATCAGGAGGAGGGACGTACCCAGCTTGCTAGCTTCATAGCAGTACCATCATCTGATGTTTTTCTCAAAACACCACAAGTGAGTTTTATGTGTGCACACACGTTGAGAGAGCAGAGGCCGCATGGAAAGCAGAGGAGCGCACCTGCCTTGGCTAAGCAGCCTGGTCTATGGAGCAGGAAGTTTGTGAGGGACAACAGGTCCTTCCCCAAAGCTGCACCTCCTCCCAGATTGCATCATCCTCAAATCTGTCTGGGTGCCCTCACATAGCTCTCACACAGGCCTCACTGCCTTCATTTCCCCAGGGCCTGGGGAAGAGAGCTTTGTAGCCCTAGGCATGTTGAAGGAACAGACATCATACTCATTGACCAGGCCTTACTTTCCTTTGGGGCAGAATTTAAGAAGACAGACAAGAGTATCCTGGTCAGTCCCACGGGTCCCTCTCGGGTGGCCTTCGACCCTGAACAGAGACCTCTCCATGGAGTGTTGAAGACCCCCACCAATTCACCTGCCAGCACTCCTCTAGTCACCAATTTACCTGCCAGCACTCCCCTAGTCACCAGGATGCCACTAGCTGCCACCCCAAAGAGAAGACCCAGGGCTGCGGACTTCTTCTGAGAGTGGCAGGGCTCCTTTTTAGAAACTTTTTTTGTACAAAATATTCTATAAATTATAACTTTAAAGATGTGGACTTTTTACTGTTTTCTAAACCCCGCAAACTGTGTACAAGGTTCTCAAGCTCAGCTGCTGCTTCCCTGTCCATCTGCAGACTGAGTTCGTGGCTCAGTCTCGGCTACAGATGTGCTTGAGTTCTCCCCAGAAGGATTCTGGTGCTGTGGGCCCCTGGAGCCACCTCCCTGACCAGCTTCTGCTCTGCAGAACCTTAGCACCTGTCACATCTACCCCACTGGCTTTCTCTGGTTATTTTTTAGTCTCACAGCATTTTGTTTAGAAAGCATGTAGGCTTCATTCCAATGTTGGTATATGACAGTTTTCTGATAGGGATGGTTTTTGAAACTGAGTCAGCAATACCATATCTTTTCTATGTGTAATCAGTCAAGGACAATGCAGGTGTGGGGTGGGGAAGACGATGCTCTGTCCTCAGGGCTTTTCTCTTGCCTGTTTCTGTCCCTGTTTTTCTACCTCTTACAGCAAGCCCAGCATGTCTTCACAGGGCCAGCACTTCTGGGGCTTCCCAGGCCGTGGGCATGAGTTGTACATTAACATGTGAACCCAGAACTTGTGTCAATGTCCCCAAAGTCATTGTCCCACCTCAGGTTAGCACATCTCTCTCAAGATGTGTGTCCCAGCTGTGTCTGGAGCCTAGGCTCTCTCCACAGCAAGTAACCCTCCACAAGTGTGCACATGTGTTTGCTCACACTGCCTGTTGCCTGAAACACAGACACTTGCACTCGCAGATGTTTATATGGCTCTTCTAACTTAAGTTAGTTAAAAAACCCAGGGAAGAAGGGACTCAGACTTCAGTTGGGAAAATAAGTCACCCCTTAAAGCAGAGCTTGCTATGTAATTGACTTAAGAAACTGCCTTGAACCCAAGAGACAGAAAAGGTGTAGACCCAGAATCAAGTGCCACTCAAGGATAGTCGGGAAGCCAGACTTTCCGATTTCTGCAATTAGGAGTTGTAGGTATAAAGAAGCCATCAGTGTATAGTGCTGCCAGCCGGCCCCTCTCTGCTCAAGAGCCTCCAACTCCTTGTCACCCCTCCCCCACCACACATAAAAGCTGGGCAATTTGGTTCTGCTACAGAATTAAGGGCAGGACTTCATCTGTCCTTGGGGGTTAAATAGCATTAGGCCCCTTGGCTTCTTGGTGAAGGCACTTCGTCATCATCAGGCCATGAAAAAAGAAAATTACCATTGTGCTATTGAGAGGTTGTGGTGAGAAGTCATACAGCACAACCACTGTGATTGAATGGGTGCAGGATGCTGAGTCTTACAAAGGCATGTTTAAAATCAAAACCCATACTAAAAGGTTAGGTTTAAAGAACCATTTTCAACTTTTTCAACAGTTTTTATTTCAGCTTCAAAGAGGGTCATAACCAAATGAGGACAATGTTGAATTGTCTTAGCCAAACACCAGGGTAGTAGTGGCTTGCTTGTTCTGAAGACGGAAGGAAGAACTCCCTCATGGTGTTTCCATATGACCTGCCTGTCTGAGGGACAGTGAATATCCTATTAGTGCACATCCTGCCATGGTCACTCCAGGAGCTTGTGTCTATCAAGGAGTGGCAGTGTGTGCACTTTCAATTCTCTTTGCCCTCCAAATCTATCTGGTTTACTCAGTATTTTTTGTTGTTATTTTGTTTGTTTTTCTAAGACAGGGCTCCCTGTGTGGCCCAGGCTAGCCTTTCCTCGAGTTTGCGACTCTCCTGCCTCAGTCTGCCAGGTGCTGGAATTACAGGAATGTGCCACCATGCCTGGCAGAAAACATTTTTGAAAAATCATCATCACAGGTACCCACAGTAAGAGTGTGTCACATGAAGAAAACATGTTTAGAATACCTGTTTTCTATTTATGCATGTTATTTTCCAAGTCCAGAAAAGCAAATAATTAGCGCTGGTAATCTTAATAGCAGTATTTTGCAAAATATTTTCACGGGTCTGTCAATTTTGTATGATTTGCATCAGACTTGACAAACTCAACCTTTCTAACTTACTGAACTGAAAGCACAAAAAGGCATATAAAGAAGATCCAGAAGCAGTTGTTCTATGAGAAAGTGTTAATTTTTGTCTGTATTCTCTGAGTTGCATGTTGGTGAGGACATGTGTTTGCTCTCAGTTGTACTGGTGTCTACAGTGCTTGTTGGTGTTTGTCACAGCCAGGGCCAGTTTAAAGAAATTGATACCATTAGTAAGCATAAAAATACACATCTCAGGAAACTACCATAATGCCACAGAGCTTGGAAGATACTCCTGTTAGTCGTGTTTGGAAACAACTCCTCGGGTCCCTGTCCCTTCATTCTGTGTTTACTCCCCAGAGCCAGCGGGGTTGCTCAGGGGTCTCATCTGGATGGCTGATGCAGTCCTGTGGCTGCTCACAGCCATTCACACTGTGTCTAGAACACGCTGTCCACAGACGTAGGCCTGTGAAGATGAGTGGAAAGGTGCCAGGGTCCTGGGTGAACACTCCCAGCACATCTCTGAAGAGTGACTATTACAGGTAAAAACGACATACACCCTACCATAATCAAAATGTAACAACAAAGATCTTGAAAACAGCTAGAGAAAAAAGTGAAAGCTAGCCAGTACCGGTGGCTCATGCCTGTAATCCTAGCTACTTGGGAAGCTGAGATCAGGAGGATAGAGGTTCAGGGATAAATATTTCATGAGGCCCCCATCTCCAAAATAACCGGAGCAAATGGACTGGAGTGTGGCTCAAGCTGTAAAGCTCCTGCTTTGCAAGTGTGAAGCCCTGAATTCAAACCCCAGTCCCACCAAAAAAAAGGAGAAATGACTTGTCACAAGTCAATAGCTGACTTCTCATGGAAGGGGAGGGGGCTGAAAGGCTGCAGGATGAGGCATTCAAGAGTCAAAAAAAGGGAAAGCCAACCACAAACCTTCCTCCAAGAGCACAACTCTGTAACATTTCGTGCCCTCAGATGTGCAGCCACCACCCCTGTCTTCAAAGCATTTATACCACCCCAAGAAAAACCCTCTGCTCACTGAGCACCTAGACCATCCCCACCTCAGGCTCCTGGCAGTCAGCGTCGTGCTTATTTCTTAGTGCACTTAGTGTGACAAACATGTTCCTCAACCAGTGAGAGGGTGTCCTAGGTGCCTAAGGAGGACTAGCAGAGCACACAAGTTAAACTATGGGATTCATATGCCCATGGCGCCTGTAGCAGCCCTGCCTGCCTCCCCATCATGTACACAGACCACCTACCTACCCTCACTAAGCAGTGAGTTCCCTGCTACTCAAGACAGATTCCAGCACGCTTGAGCAGAAGGACTCAGACTCTCCTTCCCTGCAGACCTTGTGTCAGCTCAGCATCCTGGGGGGCTGTGGTTGCTTTGGGGGAGCCCTTCCTATAGACTCTGAATCAGACATCCTGTGTCCAGTACTCCCACCTTTCTAGATGGTGAGTTCTGTGGTTAGCTCTTACAGACAGGGAAGTCAGGCACCGGATCCTAGGCCTACCGTGTTCAAAGCTGTGGCTCAGTCCCAGCACTATAAGAATGTTAATAAAGCTTGGCGTGGGGGAGAGGAGGGCTGGCAGTACTGAGGTTTGTACTCAGGGCTTCACACTTGCTGGGCAGGCGTTCTTACCATTTTAGCTACTCTACCAGCAAAAAATAAGTAAAAATCCAAAGGGTTTTCTTTGGCTGTGCATCCAGGAGGTCTAAGCTGGAGACACCCCCAAGCAGATCCTCAGCCTTAGCTGTCTTCAAAGCCTGAGATTCACTGGGCACCGCCTGTAATCCTAGCTCCTCAATGGGCAGAGATCCGGAGGATCATGGTTTGAAGCTAACCTGGGCAAATCATGAGACCCTATCTCGAAAACCGATCACAAAAGGCTGGTGGAGTGGCTCAACGTGTAGGCCTGAGTTCAGACCCCGGTACTGAAAAAAAAAATGTGTAATAAAACAAAGCTGGGAATGGTGGTGTATGCCTGTAATCCCAGCATTCGAGAGGCAGAAGCAGGAAGATCATGAGTTCCAAAGAACAACAGGGTACAGGTAGGGCTGGATCAGGGAGGTATGCAGAACACGTGGAGGTCCCAGCTGTTCTATGGGACACTTCAGGGACTACGGATTGTGGAGTTGGGTTTGATGGTGGCCCCAGCAGCAGAGGAAAAGGAGGGAGTCCAGGGCTGAGCCAGGCTGCAGGAGCACCTGGACTTGAGGGTCTACGCAGCTCAGCGCTGGGGAAGGGGTCAAAGAGAATGTTGAGAGAGGAAGACAGGATGACGGCCTCTCTGCCACCGCTGTTCTTATCCTTCACAAATGACCCGTCCTTCCTTCCTTGAAGAGCTGGGCTAGGCAGACTGGCTTTTCCGGGCCTCCCAGATGGGCAGTGGACCAGGCCTGAGTGTGAAGGCTCTCTCTGGGGGATTGAAGGGCTCCCAGAGCAGAGGGCCCACTTCCAGAGTCAACTCCTTGGGGCTCCCCAGGGGGGAACATGCCCGAGAGGCACTGCCTCTGCAGGCCACACAGAAGCCTTGGCCACTGGGCGGCCACTCGGGGGGAGGGAGCGTGGCTTGACTATAGGAAGGGAGGACAGGATCCGCTGGCAGGGCCAAGGCAAGGAGTCTTGCCTCTCAGTCTGGGGACTGGGGCCAGAGGGGACTGAACTTCACTTATTCCAGAACCATCCAAAAAAGGCAGCCACTCCCACTTCTCAACAGGTTACAATGACGAGCTTCCCTCTAGGAGGTAGATTAAACTGGGTCCCTGATTCAGCAGGAAAGGCAATGAAGTGGGGCCTGGGCCACCTGCATTTAGAGGGACTCAGCCGGGGCCTCTCCCAGGGCCTAGAACTTGCCTTTTGTTCCTGGGACTTGCTGCCTGTCTGAACCCAGTCTAAAAATTGCCTGGTATTAGTCATCGGCTGGTGACTAAGGCTTCAGTCCATCAATCTCGAAATCCTGTAATTACTTCTCCACCTAGGGTTTTAAGAACAAAAGTTGAAGCCATCCTCAGCCGCTGGTGACTGCTTTGAGTCCTGTTTAAGCAAGTGAGTACCTTCCAGCAGGCCAGCGGCACTGATTGTGCTGGCCATAACAACCCCTTGAGGAGGCAGGGGTCTGACACTCATGTTCTGCCCTGAAGTTGGCATTAGGCTACTGAGCAGAGAGGTTGCTTCCTCTCCCCGTGAGCCATTGCCCACAGTGAGATTTCTCCACACAGTCGAGCAGGGAACTTAATCTGAAATGATTGTGAACTCAATCTGCTGAGAAGAACCCTGTGAGAAAATGGGCCTGGGACAGGGATGGGATTCTGTGTGTCTGCTTGGTTTGTTTATTTTTTTAAATTATCATACATTAAAAATAGGAGGAGAGGGCTGGAGGTGGAGTGACTCAACTGTTAGAACACCTGCCTAGCAAGCCTGAGGCCCTGTGCCTCACCCAGTGCAGCACCCCAGTGCTGCCCAAAAAAAGGAATAATGAGGGGGCTTCATTGTGATAATCCCATACATGTGTACAAGTTCACCCCTCCATCTTATTCCCATTCTCTCCTCCTTCCCCGCTCATGACAGCTTTCTCTTGCATGGTGGACGAAGTCCCCATGTCCTCAGTCTCACAGCAGCTTCCCCTCCAACCACACCCTGTTCAAAGCACCATCTTGTCCTGTGCTTCCCAAAAACCACACTCTCCACTGGGCCAGTGACACCCGCACCAGCCCCACAGCCTCCTCCAGGCCTGCCACATAGGCTGCTGCTTCAGACCCAATGCTGTGTCCCCCCAAAACAGATGTTGACACCTGGTCCCCAAGTGATGGTATTTGGGGAGGGGTGTCTTTAGGAGGTGTCTTAATCCATTTGGGCTACTTTAACAATATAGTTTTTAAGCAACTTAAATCTATTCCTCAACATTCTGAAGGCTACAGTTCCAAGGTCAAGGTATCCAATGTCCAGTGAGGACCTGCTTTCTCGTTCCTGTCTGGTGTCTTGTCATTGTGCCCCACATGTGGCTAAAGGCCACATTATTCAAGAATTGCATCTTTATCTGTAACCCCAGCACTTGGATGGCTTAGGTAGGAGGATTGCCAGTAGGAGACCAGCCTGGGCTACATAGTAAGATCCTGACTCAGAAAAAGAAAGTAATCGTACAATTTGTGATCTTTTGTGACTGGCTTTAGTTTTCTTTGGGAAGAAAATGTCCACCCCCAGCCTGTTTTTAGCCTCCTTTCCTGATTACTCTTCTCACCCTACCCCTGGTACCCATCCCGGGGCCAGGGTCCGCAGCAGAACAGGGAGTTTGTCACCTGAGCACATATCTGCCATGAAAGTGCCTCTCCAAGCTTTTCACCCAGTCTGATTCAGTCCACTGTAAGTAAAGCCACCTTGCCCAGGGCAGGATCCCCACCTCCCCTCCTACCAAGGCTCTGTGTCCAGCGGCCTGCAGAGCACAGCTGCAGGAGAGGGCAGGACATGTCAAAGGAAGAAAGTGAAAAGGCAGGTGGGGGTCAGCCTGGACTGTGGGAGAAAGGAAGTGCTGAGGAACGGTTAGGAGGGGGAGGAGGGATGGTTAGGAGGGGGAGGAGGAAGATGGTCAAAGCAGCTCCACAGGACCTTCCATCTATATCTCAGGGGAGGGAGACTCCTGACCCCCCTGGGGACTTCAAAGCCTAAGAGCACACTCCACTGCAAACAGACGGGCACCATGCCACACCACTGGGGCACATCCTCAGACACCTCAGCCTAGGGAAGGGTCTAGGAC